TCCCCCGTTTTTCAGAGCCTCTTGACAAGGTCACTAGAAGTTAACTCGTGAGATACTGTCGGCGTTCTTTGTGAACACGAGATTGCCGATCGCTGTGGAGGAACAATCGATTCAGCCTTGGCAACCTCTCGCACACGAGTTGTTATGATGCAACTCTTCTTCCATGGTTCATTGTTACCTCAACGATTCACGCAATAGTGTTCACCCTACTGTTGACAATTTGAAGAAGCCAAAACTGGTCTGCCAGTTAGTTTTCTCGGGGTCGTGCGACTGAGTTGGCGTTATGGAACTAGATCTTCCAGTGTCGTACCAGTGGAGGATATTCGCAATGTAGGAGATTCCAATGTCGTAGTAGTCGATGCAGAAAGCATCCACCATTAACTTTACAGAAGAGTGGGGATGGTCACAGCGTTCGCTGCAGCATATTATCAATCTCTGCTTCACTTCCAACTGTCTCCCAGCATCGAACTGAAGAGCCGGAGTGGTATTCTCGTCGCTGCGATGCCGAAGCATCCCAAGGGAGGATCTGTCTCTTCGCAGGAGACTGGAACCGCAGCAGAAGCTTGGCCCAGTGATGAAAGCAGTTCAACAGGGAGAGTCAAAGCTGGATGTTAGGGAGCAAGATGGAATTTTGAGAATGCAGGAAGAAAGAGTAACAGGGCAAGTGTGAGTGAACAAAATGCATTGTGTTCTGGATGTTGGTGAAAGCTGAATATCTTTTCCTAATTCTCAAAGAAATTTTGGACTTGGTTACTGCTAGAGTTGTCATTGGCACAGTCCAGCCTATTTTGCTGTGACTTTGAGGTCGAGTTTCCGTGGTCTTTGCTTTTAACAGGCGACCTAGATTCTCAAATTCTATGTCCCATAATTCGGGCCATTCAGATTTACTACCTTAGGAATTTAATAGTCGGCCCTGTAGCTTCGATGGTCTTCTGCTGCAGGCGGCACAGAAAGCTGAAGAGCCAGGGGAAAATTTTCAATGAGTCAAACGATTCTCAATTCTTCACACAAGATTTGATTGGAGGACATTACTTGCAAAAAGGGTACGAGAAATATCGTTTTCCAATTTTTTATTTATATTAAGGACATGGTTGCCATTAAGGGTACATTTCAAGGTTTATATTGTATAGCAAGCTTGTCATTTGGTCATTGAAATAAAAGAATAAGTAAAATTTACCAAAATAATCGACTAGTATAAGCTAAAGATAAGCATTCTAAGTATAAGCTTTGCTATTACATCTACCTTCATCTTCTTAGGGTATAAAGCCCTTATATGCTATGCACCCATCTCCACTGCATACATTGTGTAAACCCCATGTTATGTAAAAAAGGAAAAAGAAAAAGAAAATGCGTTTACAGAAGTCTTTTCATAATGTAAATAGATAGACAGTAAAATTGGATCCATCGCATGGGCTCACTTTTGTGTGTGCAGGCAGGCTTCCCCTTCCGCCTTACATGAGACAGACATGGTGTCATCATGTGGGATACAGTGGAAAATATGAGTGATGTCGTACAGCTCATGCGTTCTGACAGAAGTAGAGTCTGTGCGTCTGTCTGAATATCTGGGTGTCACCTGAGGGGATTACTCCGTTTAGACTTTCTAATGCGACGCAGGTTAAGGAGGAAGAATTTTAACACGGGAACAAGATCTAAGAGCTTTGCAAAAGGCTGTCCGTGCCACAGTAGCCCTGCTGCAGCGCTGGGGTCAGTGCTATAATGGCAACTAACACTGGTTCGGAAAATTCTTTGATGAGCATTACGCACCTGGAGCGCGCAAACACCATGCGACAGCATATCCCAGAGCGCCTCTAACAAAGTGGGATGGAGCCATCGCTGGTGCGTGGATGCAGTGCAACTGAACTTTAAAGGTGGTTCGTGTTAGGCCCGGCAGCGGAGAATCGGAACTGAGCTATTGGTGCAGTTCGAAGCAGGTTTGACCACTAGTTGATCCTACTGACGACACAGTTACTGCAGTGCGACGGGGTCCGGTCCGGTCTGGTGGGCGCTCACCCCACGCTCCGGGTTGCAAGATGATGCGGGGTCCAGGCATCGCATTATGGATTGGCTCCGATACTGGCTGCCATGATGAGTCACGATACCTTCCCGAATTATGAAGCTTTTTCGCATGCTTCGATTTTTATATTGAAGGTGCAGTCTAAAATAGAGGTGTACGAAAGTTGCAAAGGCTGAGGAGGGAATTTAAATGGTTTAAGTTTAGGGGGCTACGGTCTAGAAGTCTGGGTGTGGTGGCCAGATTCGGAGATAGTTGCTCTAGAATTACTCACCCAATCGGTCATGCGAACGGGCACGTTCACGGAACCGTAGGCCTTTGACTGGAGGGGGAAAGCGGTTGGTAAGAGGCCAAGCCGGACGGTGACCTCGGGATGGTTCAAGTAAAGATATGAAATTGAGTGCGAGGTTAGATAACCGTTCGATGGCATCGGGGACCGTTACGACTGTCGATTGCCGTGCAAGCAGGGTTTGAGTTTGGGTCGTCTGGAAGGGATCGGCAGACCCATCGTCATTTGGGCCTATTTGCATTTTAGCTCCGGTGGGGTCAGTTAGTCCGAAGATCATGCTTAGTTGTTTTACCATGGCCGTGTTTGGGTGGAGGGACGTAATGGGGGTTAAAGATGTGGACCTGGAGCCGCGGCCGGTTCATCAGAAATTCTGTTGCGTGACGTGGAGAAAGAATTGACCCTTTTCGGCAACAGTCGAGACATCGCTGAGTACTGCGCATCCAAAGTGGAGGAGTCCAATTTGTGCTAGTAGAATCAATTACTTGAATTCTCTGGGTGCCTTGTTTTACCGGTTCACCGATTTAGACAATTAGGCCTCCTCGACAGTTTGCCTGTAATCCTGGTGCAGCTGGTTCACTCGGGCGACCTGAAGCATCTACGTGGGTGAGGAACTGGAGTATGGGCTGGCAGCACCGACCCATTCCTGGAAACTACAGCTCAAAGCCAGGAAGGCCGATCTGTAATCGTCGACGACAACCATTGTAAATGGTCGAGTTATAGCAAAGCTAGAGGTGCAGAGTATGTGGCGACAGTAAACTATTGCAGCTCCCATCTGGTATGTGTTGGCATTGTCCCGAGTCTGAAACAGATGCTTCTGAAGAAACTGGTTGAGTAGATATCGCATACGTTATACGCTCTGGTCGCTAGTACCGTAAGTTCTTCGCCGACAAGCGACTGATCTCGTGTGATGAAATGTTGCAGCAACTCGTGATTGATCTTCTGAATTATTGTTGTGAACGTTAGCGTCTCTGTCGTTGATGCGGGACTTACATGACTTGTTCTCACAATCTGGTTATCGTCGAAATCTGTCTGTATTCTTTGTGGACAAATCGTGGATGTGACAACTTGAGTTCAGGAATATCATTGCTTTGGACTTCGCTGCTCCATCGCCGCTGAGGTAGATGTGTTGACATGTAAGTCTGTTATGAACCCTGCCCCATCATCGCATTATCAGTTTACGATCTGTTGTGTTTCCGGATGGTCATTTTGGTTGATCTGTGTCTGCCTTGCTAAATTGCTACAGTCACAATCCCGACGATCACCATTCATGGCATGCCCATCTTGTTCGGATCTGGCTGATCAATCAATATCATGTGTACACTTGAACAACATTGAAAGGATTAAATTTGTTTCGTACTTTATCATTCAAATTAAACACACATCTCTCTCTATATATATATATATATATACCTCTCTAGTGTATTTTTTTATTTATAAAATTCTCTATTTTTGAGCTCTTTTGTGATTCACGGATTTGAAAAACAATTTCTAAAAACGAAAATAGTAGTATTTGGATATGGAATGTGCATTAAGGGTTTTTTCTCAATGAACAGTTGACTTTGTCAAAACATGAGGATTGTTGACGTGAATAAGACTTATCAATCCATGAAATAAAATAAAGTAAATGCTTCTAATATGATGAAACGTAAATTCATTCTCAATGATTATTCATGGTACAGTAAAAATCAAATAATTCAAACCATTTGACATTAAAAATTTCCAAGCTAAAATCTCTCTCCTTTATTTATTTATTTATTTACTTACTTACTTACCTACATATATTCACACGCGTATATATAATTCTTGGTTGTAATTAGAAAATATCTATAGATTTCTAAAGAAAAGGTGTAATTTATGGGATAATTAGAATTCCACACAGGATAGCTTGAGTGAACGACAGTCGATACTAAATTTAGCTACAAGCCACTCCATCAGGGTGTATAAGGAGAATGAAATTCACCTGATCCAGTGAAGTTTGTCGATGAAGTTCACATTTCAGCAAGATTCTCAGATGAGTCCCTGCTTTTTGTCTACCACTACTGAAAATTGCAAATGGATTCAAGAGAACTTGATGTCGAAGCGCTCAGTTCTGAAGTTCATGTGTTACAACTTTGATTTCAATAACCCAGTGAACAAGCAATGAAATATGTAAAAAGGAACCCAGGTTAAGTTTAGTTTGCACGACCCGGAGTAAATTTGTGGTTATAGGGCTGGTAGCTGTCGGTTGCATGAACTGACACAGGCAGGTATCAAATTCCAGCCAATAAGGATCGTCGAAAGAGTCGGTTGTGTGCCAAAAACGGAAGATGGGCTTGAGAGGAGGGCTCCACGGAGACAACTCCGGTGAACCGGGGTATCTACCAGTTTTGTGGGGTTGCCACAAAACCCCGAGTGCAGGCGTCAGCGTCCATCAAAAAAACCAGCATTTGGGTGATTGACCTTTTAGCAGGTGGGCCATTGGAGGGGTTCACCGGGAAAGATTTGGGAGAGGGGAGGAAATTACGTGGTCTAGGAAGTGGGAGTTTTGACTGCAGATTAGAGAAAGGCCTACTGACAACGGCGTCGACAGCATTAAAGTCAGTAGGGTAAGCATTACGGATGCAGGTAAGAAACCATCGGTTCCCCGGTTTGCGCCAACGAATGAGCTCAACGCACGGCGCTCGAGGGCACGCTCGCACATGTTTTGCCAGGATGCTTTGCGATGACCTTCAGTAGGATTGAGCTCTTTCACATACGCTCTGTATGCAGTCACCAGCTACGGTCTGGCCCTGCTAACGTCGCTCGACAGTCACAGCAGCTAGAGTGTCGCAAGGAGTTCCTGCCTTGAAAGAGTAACCCTAGATTGTCTTGTTTTGTTGTGGCTTTTGAGGTGGCCAATCACTCCCCGGGAACGACGTGGTCAAGTCCCACATCTGTAGCTGGTTCTGCAACACTTGTTGTTTCTGTGGTTTTCCTTCTCCGGTAGCAGCAGTAGCATCCGTTGCCCCCCCGTGACATTGAATCAGAGAGTCTCGTAGAGTTGAGATATTGATCCATGCCGCTGTTGCCCTTCTGACCTCCGCTGTGGAGACGTCGAGATCGATCTGCGAACAGTCGATGCACTTACTGTGGAGGAGCTAGTCAGAGTGATTCGTCTATTACTTTCCTGGGCACTCGTTTCCTGCAACTTCGTTTGGGGATTTCATGCGTAGTCAATAGTCCTTCACCTTGTAAACTCTAGCATTCTTCCCGAGTCTGACGAGTCTGCTGAAGTCTGAAACAACGGTTTTTTGCAGCGCCTCTCCAGTGTAGTGGTAGCGCCTTGACACATTTTGTGTGAGCTGGAGTTCAACATCTGGTCTCCGATTCAGATGTCAACTCACACTCTTTAGTCTCTCTGCATCACAGCCCCCACAGGCACGTCTGGGTGTTTTGGCGTAGAGGAGAGGCGGGTACGGGCAGATCTCTCAAAATCAATCAAACCCGCTCCTGCAGAGGTGTCCTGTCGCCAACGGGTGGAAGAGATTTCATTCGAAAATCTGCATGTCGTGGAGCGATTCTGCTCCGATTAGGTGAAGTGGAACAGGAATGAACACGTCGGCCGTTTTGTATCGTAAGCAGTCCAAGACTTGCCAAGTGGGGATTTCAGCAATCGAAATGAAGAGAGTTTACAAGTCTATATATTGTTCAGGTTCCGAAGGGGAGCATTGAGGTCTCAGGACCTACTGATATGTTGATTCTGTCTCATTGCAGTCTGCTTGCGACTTCGAGACTTTGTGTAATTATGGTATTCGGAATCTGCGAAGCTAAGAGGAATTCCACAATGTGAACATTTGACATTGTATGGCTTCTTAAATGCGAGTCATCATTTCGACAATTGAGTGCTTCGAGCCGCACTTTTGAAACTAGCTTCAGAACACGTTTCAGGGGAACAAATTTGCTTACTTTGCGACGCATCGAAGGAGAGTTTCATAATCTTTAGTATGGATGGGCAGATCACCCTCTGCACCTCTGGTACTCGCAGGCGATCTTTAACTCTTTAGAGACGTGTACCTGGAGGTGAGAAATGGACACAAATTTCCATTCTATGTAGTTGGCGTTCAAGCGGTTCAGGAGGGATACTAGGTTCGGAAGCAGAGCACTGCAACGTGAAGCATTAACTTGAGTAGAGTGCAGGGAAGCGGACCAGAAAAAGAACACCAAGTATCCTTTGCAGCGCTCTCGGAGCTCAGGTATTTTCTCACCTTACAGGTGCGAATCATGTAGTCCTCGAATGAATTAGGAAGGAAACGCTGCCTACGATGCTCTCCCTATGATCAACTCCTTCATCACTGCGAGAGAGTGCCGCTGTCCATATCGGAAACACTTCCATAGAACATCAAGAGCACGCTTCTATCAATGTACGCCTAGGAGCGCTACTTTAAACGATCACGAGGTATTCGAAACTGAACAATCTAGAAACAGTTGCTTCGGTATTCTGCATTTGGTGACAGCAACTTTGTAGACTCGCACTTTGGCACAAGGATCTGGATTCGAAAGAGCAACTCCGCATTGGATGGAAACGAGTAGAATTTCATAGGTTGTAGCCCTGAATCCTTGACTTTTTGAATGTGATCAGTGTTCGAAGAAAATAACTCTTTACATTCAGACATCGACCCCTAGAGCTTTCTGTTAAAGTGCTATAGCCTGCGAGCTGAATTGTCGGAATCTGTGGTAATTCGCTAAGATGCGTACGTCCCATCGTGTACCAGGCAATCCATCAGGAGAACATGAGCATGGGTGTGGGAGGTCGACACTCTCAGTGGTTAAGAGAAGTTATGAAATATTGCATTGCCAGGTATCTGTCTGTCCGTCTATCTGCACGGCGTATGCATCTCAGTCTCTTGTACACATCTACTCCACGCAGTCCTTGTTTTTAAGTTTTATGAACCAGTGACGAGGATTGTGCGTCACGTTGCAGCGACTATGGGCTAATGAACCTGGTCATTAGAACTGCTTGGCTGGTTGCCTTCGCTGGCAGCTGCTGCAGTTTGACCGCCCTTGATTTACGTAACATCTTCGTTGGCATGTCTACGGAAGAGATTCGTCAAGCGATTAAATGGTACAGTGCGCACACACGCTCTTTTGAACGGGAACTATTTCAACATGTGACATAATGGAGGAATACATTGTCCCTGATATCCGTGCTGGTCTTCTTGCCGATACAAAGCTGTCAAAAAGGGGTCACAGCCACAATGCAACGAATTCTTTAGGATTGCAGCTGTCAAAAGTAACCCGGTCACAACCAAGTTGCAAATGTGCACGCGCATGCGAAGCTGTCAAGATTGTCGTCTACATGCACATCTTTGTGGTCACTAACGCGAATTAGACGAGTTGTAGGCAGATACGTCGGGTTGAGGTCATAACTATGCTACACTTGATACATACCTTCTTTTGTGAATGTTATCTGCGCACTTGTTTTTAAGGTGACTGCATTCATTTCAAGCTATTAACTTTTTTCGATTCAATCTGTTTCGGAGGATATTGTGTGCTAGATCCACAGTTTGGATGGTAGACTCTAACAGGGTGCCACATGGTTTTGCATAACTTGGGTAGCGGATTGGATAGACGGGGTTGACGTAGAGATTGATGCGAAACAGTGATTGGCAGATAAATCTTATCAGAGATGGTGAAGCTGGAGCTGTTGGACTCATCTTCGATGATTTGATCCACAAAAGGCCATTTTCCACATGATCCTCACAAGAATGGTATCGTAATTTTCGGTGGAATGGGAGCAAGTGCATGCTGGATAGCCTCCATCCCAGCTCATGATTGGGCCGGGCCCCTCTCCATGCTGAACGACATCGAGCTACTAGCTCATCGGGTACTTCCTCCTCCAACAGACTACTCGTATTACATCACAGGTTAGGATTGGCTGCTGTGATCTCCCCCAGCATAACTAGGTTAAAGTGCATGGACGTACAACATATTTCAACTTTGGAAGTTTTGCAACCCTATTTACTGATCAGTAAGGCATATGATTTAGATTCTCAACTTTGCTTTTAAATGTGCACTTTTCCACTTCAGTGTATTGTTCAGTACACCGTAACAGGCAATGTCTTCATGATATTGCTGCCATACTGTAAGTCAGTTGCGATGGAGAGATGAGAGCAGTCTCTGAGACATGAGGCAGTACTGTACAGATGAGTACTAAATTCATGTAACCGGAAAATTTGAGCAGCTAGTTTCGTGTAGTTTGGAGCTTGATTCGATATCGACGCTGGTGCAGCTGTGAGCGCTCCATGCAACATGTCAGATGCCGGGGGAAACCCTCATGGGGTTGGGAAAGAGCGATCTCCGGACGGTAACGCAGGTGTTGACTCGGGAGCCGACGAGCAGGACGATTCCAACGAGCGCGTAGAGAGTCCCACGTTGTCTAAGAGAGAAGAGAGGGAAGTGCGCAAGAAGGCCAAGCTCGAGGGTGATACACGTCACCCAATCTACCGAGGAGTTCGCAAGCGGCCATGGGGCATCTGGGTCACTGAAATCCGGCGACCAAAGAATAAATCCCGTATCTGGTTAGGAAGTTTCGCGACCGCAGAGATGGCAGCACGTGCTTATGATTGTGGTATTTTCCTACTTGGATTGATTTTGTTTGATTTTTCTTCCATCTGGAAATAAAGCGGACTGACCAAGTCCCCGTCATGACTAACCATGTAAGACATTGTGTGGGGGACGGGGGAACTTTCTGCACTGCAGCAGCTTTGGCCTTAAGAGGGAACGGTGCGCTTTTGAACTTTCCAAAGATGGCAGCCTCACTTCCACGACCAGCTGACCTTACCGACAAGTCCATCCAGGCAGCAGCCACTATCGCAGCCAACAATTTCGCACAACTTCCAAGTGAGATGGATGTGTATGGCGCGATGCCATCACAATCAGCTCTGTCTTCCTCACCGAAAGGTGATGAGGATCACCAGCAGCATGGCTCACAACAGAAGTTAAGGCAAACGTCAAAAAGTACCACATTCACACTAGGCAGAGTAGGAGGAAGTTCATCGCAAAGATTGATATCTAATTCAGACGGTAGTAAATCCTACCAACCATCCTCTTCGACTAAGCAAGGGGAAGAAGCAAACCTTCATAAAATCATAGTAAGCACCAGCAACCCTCAGTCTAGAAGTAGCGAAATTGCAGGGACACAAAGTAGATACAGCAGCATGTGTACAAGTGACACAGAATCGATGGAGAATCTGAAACATCATGCGACCGGAGGCGAGAACAATCCGCCCTCTTCCTCCGGCGTCCAGCAACTATTGTTTGTTGATTCAGAAGACATGTTCACAATCGGATTTACAAATCTGTGCGATGCTATGTGCATCCCACCGCCGGCTCCAGAGCATGCCACTGAAACTGATGGCGAGGAGGGTTCGACAATCTGGGAGCCGCACCTCTGGAGTTACTAATCAAATTTAATTCCGTCATCCATTTGATGGTGAAGATTATTATCCTAGCTTAGATCATCACAGGCTCCAAGCCTCACGTTTGGTTGGCATGATAAATTTTGGAAACCCTTTAGTTCTGGGTGTTCGTTTACGGTTGAAGCCTTTTCAGTTCAGTGGAATAACAAGCGTTTTAATTGCTTCGGCATTCCATTCATACCTCAAATTTTGCATGCTTGCCGACATAACTCTGTGTACAGAATTTCATTTTGAATCATACTCCTAACCCTTTCATTCTCTTTCCCATTGGATGGCATCAAAATTTTCCATCACGTTTTCAGCCCACAAGCCATTAGAGATGGAGGTCGAGTCTTGCCTCACCCAAGTGACCGATGGCGCTCCTCCTGATATTCTCTCGACATGTTGCATGTCCACCAGAAGAGTACTTGGCAGCCTCATAAGTTTCAATCGATCTCATTAGAGGCTGTAAGAACTTCCCGATTTGCTCGTGCAGAGCAGAACGCGTACAGCATGGATGAGAATCAGGGTGGTACGCGACAAGACTAGTCTCATGCACAATACTCCTGACTTTAGCAACGATGTATTAAAAGATCCACCCCTGGTGTGTACCCATTTCGGCATGCTACAAAACTTCGAGACTCGGATAACTACCCAACAAAGTGCACCCAATCCTGCCATAACCTGCACTCAATCCTCAAATGGTGCAAAATCAACTCCTTGATTCGATGCACAGTGACGACCACGGCCAAGTATGTTCACACCAGATAGATCAGTGCCTTGGACAAGGTCGTCAGTTAACCGCCTTTACCCTCAGTACCATCCTCATAGATGCGCTCAGCACTCTTTATTTGAGCCAAGTCATTATGCCTTCAGTTAATAATGTGCTGTCCGAAAGAAAATATCAAACATGATTGGAGTTTGAAACTCGTTTACTAGGTGTCTCGTTGACAGTGTCCCGGAGGACACAAATTTGGGTACGGAAGAGTATCTGCAAAATACGGTCAAGACAATGTACCCTGTACGAGTAAAATAAGTCTATTTGACATATTTATAACTCTGTAATAAAGACAATTACTACATGACGAGGGCAACTGAGTGCACTCCAAGCAAAGAATCAATCAACTAGCATAGCAGTTTTCTCTTCGTTTATACATCGTGAAACCAGTGGGTTAAACGTAACCAAGTCTAATTGAATCTTAGGACCGGTGGATATAACTTTTGGACAGCTTGGTGAAACCACAAACCGCAGGATAAGTACATGAACAGCATACCTCAACAGTCTTAAAAGAAGTGCCTGCATTACAAGCGAAAATGGTTCTTAAGTACCAAACATCTTAGTCAACCAAGGTTACAGAGTGGTCACTGAAGCAGCAGTAACCATTTACAAGGCATCATTAATTGCCTTTTGCAACGTTAGAAAAACCAAGTAAGTGCACTGCCGCATGGTTTTCACCGCACCCGACATTGAAGGGCCTGACATATTCTGCAGACAAACAAATTCAAATATTAGCACACTATGAGTGTAAATAAAGAGATCCAAACAACCCAACTTCTTTGAACCCAATAATTTATATAAGTACCTACAGTTCAATTTCTGAGTTTTACTGGGAAGAGTTCATCCTGAGCAAGCGGCCTTTTCAGACATAACAAGCTACCTTTGCTTACAGTAAACTCAACTTCTGAAAACAATAAGACCATCCAAAATATAATTGGGTATCATATATGAAGGATTAGGATAGAACGAATCACAAAGTCGGTACGTACACCAGATTAGTACATCAATATAGATATATTTTTAAAGGAACTCGCCTGCTCAAGTTTAAGACGCTCAATATCGTAGCCTTGCTCAAATGCTAGTATCACCAACTGTAACAAACAGATAGATCACTAATTATTCCGTGGCTCATTAAAGTTTCAGAGGATATATTTCAAGGGTGCAGAATATGCAGTGAGTCGAAATCCGGCACCACTTTCAAATATCCTAGTTCCACTTGAATTGGTAAGATATTAATATAAGAAACCTAGTCATTTATTGCTTACTTGCTTGACGAAATCATATGAAGGGCCAGGTTCTTCCCTCTCTTTGCTAGCTTCAGGCTCAAGCCGAGACCTTCTTGCTTTGACCTTGAAACAGGTGAACGCAAAGCATGGAAAACCAGTTAATTGACGCCATCTAGAGATCCAATGAAACATGAATTGGACTCTGAACTATCAATCTCTCGCATTCTTACCAAAATGCAAGGATGTTACGATGCAAAATCAACAACGAGGTTAAATTATGTCGAAAGATATGACAGACTGCATACCTCAGCCAGTGTCGAATAGATAAGTTGGACCCATGAGGATCGCAGCCTACTCTCCTGCACTTCGCAAATATGATTTAAGCTCTAAATCTATACCAGTCGCTTCAAGTTTTGGTTGTAAAATGACGATGGAAAGAAATGCAGTTTGGAACAACGGCGAAGTATGACAAATGATATCAACCTAGCTTTAAACATAGAGTCACAATTTAAATTCTCAGTTTCAACCATCTATGACTCACATTTAGTTCCAATCATTTTAAATACTGTGAATCACATTAGAGGATCATTCATCAACCGAAAAACACTAAAACTTTCTTTGCAGAAATTACTGAGGACTTTTCTACAAGGAATTGGCAGCAAGAACAACTTGAACAAGAGAAAATGCCGACGCCTGTATTACCTCGCTCATGATTGGATCATCCGAGTATCGTTGATTCCGGATCGAAAATGCACCTGTAAGGGACCCTTCTAATAAAATTAGCTGCAACTGTAGCTCTTTCAGTCCAATTCCCATCGTGTGTGCCTCCATACAATTTGTTACAAAATCTTCTGCCGCAAGCTGAATTCAACAGTAAAGGATGCAAGTGCCAATCAATTCTTGCTTAATCAATAGTCGGTTCTTGCTGTGAAGGTATCGAATCCACTCCCCCAACAATTTTCATCGAATCCCTGCTACTCTTAGTCCTACGTAGTTTGAGGTGCAACTGGCACACAGCTTGTAGTTGTGGAAAACAAAGCGTGACTTTGTGAAAGGACAACTTGAGAGTACCTGAAAGGGTTTTCCTAAGCCTTCTATTCGAGCCTGGAAAAATACTTGCTGGATCTTATATGCTATCTTATGAGCCTTGACATTCTGCTCCATTAGCTGTCTCTCTACAGGATCTTCAATTTGAGGGATATCTGTAATTTCTGGAATTCCTGCGCCAGTTGGTAGCGGTTGTGGCTCCTGATAAAACACAGACTGGGGCCTCAGTAAATCATTTTGTGGCAAAACGGCGATGTTCCAGCTTGATGAAACACAATTTGTGATATGTAAACACATTTGATAAACAAAAGCATATTCGGCACGCTCCTGGCGTCTAAACTGCCCATAAATTCGTAGCAATAACCAACTCCACACAAGCTGCGGGATCCAAGATTCTGGCAAACACCCTAGTTCTACATTACTTCCAATTCTAGACCAAGGTCTCAAAAGATGCCAATAACCACCTTCATCAATTGGAAGTACTTTCCATTGAGAATTTCGCGAAGTCTCAGAGAGTACACGAGCATTACACAATGATTCTACTTACGCAAATTCAAAGGATTAGGTCAATTCACCATGCCTAGCAGCAGGAGAAAGCAAGCGGGGCAAAAACGAATCAGAAAGATGCTGCGTACTTGTTCAGCTGTCTTTTCAGGCGGAATTTCGGTCATCTCTACAGCAGGAGGAGCCTCTGTCAAATCAACTCCATCTGCCGGGCGTCCGTAGCCTACTGCAATAGTCACAAGCTGCACAGCTCGTGAGACTTCAGATAAAGCGGCAGAAACCGACGCAAGAGACTTCGACAACTCTCCAAGAGAACCTCGCAACTCCGAATTTTCTCGCCTCAACCTATTCAGCTCCGCTTCATCTGGTGAGTTGGACAGTGGCGATCCGACACCACCATGACCCACAAGGTCATCTTGACTGTGTTGCCAGGAACTCGAGTTTTCAGAGCTCTCGGAGAAAGACTCCTCGTGCTCGTCGCCATCTCCCTTGGAACAATGTGGTGGAGGCAAGATCCATATCGAATGGCTACGTCGAGGAAAACGAATTCCAAAACAAGAATTAGACACACTAGCACGTGATTCAATTCTAAGCGAGTAACCGCTCACAGTTCCGACTGGCGTAACCCAAGGCGAGGACGTGCAGGTGCTCAACACCGAAACCATGTTACAAAGGCGGGTATCAAACATTCTTCCTACCGCCAGTCCCTCCGTCCTCACACTCCCCACTACGGAGCATCCGAAACAAACCCTGTACACATCAATAGCCTCCATACACGACAAGACTGTGCTGACGAATCCGGATCCGTCTTGTCGATTGAGGCTGTGGACCGAACCTCAGAAACGCGCATAAGAGACCAGATAAGAGATCGTCGACGAGCCACCAGAGTGCATCATGTCACACGCCGCAATGCAAGACCACAGCGGCATGGTGGTGCTGCGAGATGGCTGTGGGCGTGCGATTTGTTGTTGCAGCACGCCCAGGCAAGCAATCTGGTGAGTGATGACAACGAGCATCGCGATGGAGTGCGCGAGACGGAGGCGATGGTGAATGGGAAGGTGGCCTAGAGGGTGAGGATCCTCCCTTAAAGAGTGGCCCTCCTTAAGCTACCATTTTTAATGTGTTTCTTCACAACTCTCCGGTTTTCGGCTTGAATGTGAACTCTCTGTAATGTGGAGTATCAAAGGTTGCAATTATATTTTTAATTTTTTCTTTTCTTTTTTGGAAATACAAGTAGTGTTTTTTGGATGGAAGACTAGCACTTTTGGAAGCTATCTTGCTTCATGAAGAGTGCTTTGATGTTTGAATAATGGTGCTTGATTAGTAGAGAGAATGTATTATTGCTTGTTTGTGATGGGTTTGTTTACCTTTACTTTAAAAACTTGCCTTTATATGCATGGACTTGATCAAATATTGGATTTTAATTTTCTTTTAAAAGTGCATTGTTCAAATTATTACGTGTAAATAAATAAATAAATAAATAAATATATATATATATATATATATATTATAGTGGTGAAGTGCATACTTTGCACAACATTATGAAAGTTTTAAAAATGTGATTTTCTAAATAACTATAATGATGATAAGTTTATTTTATTTCATTTACCAACTCCTTGATCATTGTTTCATTCACAACTTGTTTAGAATTTTCTATTTTCTTCACAGGCATTAGAGTTTATATTCAAAGAATACACTAAAAAATAATTGTTGAAAACGGATAAGAACTTTCCAAAGGAATAGACTCCATTCTGTTCCTTCAATTTGAACTATCAATGAAAACGTTCTTGGTTCCCAGTAGCATAAAATTAAGAAATAAATAAATAAAGTGGAGAATATTTTTGAAAAATATCTGGTGCTCAAACCATTGAGGTATGAAATATATGGGTGAGCCTCCAGCTTTCCAAGTATTTTCAGTTTTAATTGCTATTATTTCTAGCTTTTTTTATTTGAAAATGTATTTACGTGATATATTCTTAAAATAAAATTAATGGATTATGTAACTATTTTATTATGTATAATCCTGTATGAAATGTTGATATTTTTCTATAAATATATCTTCAAGATCAAATGGCATTATTCTGTTGACTTTTCTTTTTTGTATCACTCAACTACTTTTGGTGGTGGTCTTGCTTTGGTACTTTGTGATTTTCGAAGTGACACTGTTAACACCCATATGCTTATCAATATCAATATGAAGTTATAATTCAACTTTCCATCACTCTCTGGTTTTTTATTTATTAAAGAATCACATTATTTTGTCTTACATGTGTGGCAGTTGAATGAGTTTTTACAATATCGGCAAAAATTTGGTACTGAAATCATATTTCTCAAATACAAGTAAAATGAGTTGTTCATCACATTAGGTCTAGACAGACTAAGAGTAATGTATATCAATTCATTGCAAGTCTATAGAAGTTTGCCTTTAAAAGGAAAGAAAGTCATTTTATTCTTGGTTATGTTAAAATTGGTGACATGGTTTGTAGATGATATTATAGAACACTTTAAATTTTTAATAAATATATATCTATTATATAAGACTGTTTAGGTGGAACACAAAGACGCAAAGAAGTCTTTTAATTGAATGTGAAGAAGGGAACTTGGAGAATGCATGAAACTTGGGGAACAAAGGAATCAGAGAATGTGGGAATATAGGAACTAGGGAACCATGGAACGACAGAATGTGGAAACATGGGAACGAATGTATTAATATTTCTACATCAGCTTTCAATAGTATCTAAAGTATACCATTGCTTCAATCGTTGATATTGTTATTTATCCTCCACCATTGATAGTTTTTTGTCATGTAATCATGCTTTTACATAAACATGTATTAGTGTAAAAATAAATAAATAATGCAAAACTGTAGATGTTGTGGTAAGAGAACAATTTGCAGTAATCATATCCAATTGCTCATCCAATTATAACAAAAAGACATTCATTTTTCCCGTTTTTAAAAAACATAAAAGCATAAATTCATCTTAATGAAAAATCCAAAACACATGTAGATAACCATTTTTAAGCAACAAAGGTTAATCCAGGAATAATGGAGATGTTATCAAAAAAAATTACAGGCCACAAGTTGTAAAAAATATTTTCTGTAAGAGATAACTTCAGATATTGAATCTGAATTTATGTATGTAATTCTATGTAGTTAGGTACAGAATATCAATATCACAAAACACCAATTTTAAAGGTAATTCTTAGCGAATGTTTCGTAATTTCATGCTTGTGCCTACTTTGTCCTATTCTACATTATGCTTCTTCGTCCGCGCCCGACATTGTTATACGTTTACAAAACAAACTCACGTGTCTGATGACGACACTGTAGTTTCCAATCCAGATAAGATATCAATATTTCTTCCAAAATCAAAGGTTGTGTCCATTGCCTTAACACTATGCTCATACCCTTGAAGCAAATAATGCTAGAATCAAGATATGTTGACAGCACCTCGTTAGGTGGCGAATTGTAGTTTTTGAAATCACTTCTGATGATCTTTCAACGCAATGTATCGAACAGAAGTACTAACATTTCAGCGCAACTTTTGTTGTCATAAAGAAATAAAGTCCTACGTGGAACTTGCCTCCAAGTTATATAAGCACATCTGGACCGCCGGACCCCATCTCAGCATTACATAGAACACGAAGACTACAAAAGTTTCGCTGATGGAATTTCTCCACTCAGAGCTTGCGTCACGTAGTCGCTGTAGCTACTTACAGACAGAACTGAAAAGCATATCCTGACAAAGACAATAGAGGTACTATGTCAGTACCACCGGCCACCTCGATTTCAACAATACACACTCTGCCACGAAGCTTTCGAGCTTATTTCCTGCTGCCAGAACATCACAATGTTGGCTTTGGCGAACACATGGATCCTCACACATACCTTGTCTCCATTGTACTGCTAAGCTGATCTTGAGAGCATTGCAGTTTCCTTGCTTTGTAGCCAAGCTTGCTAAGGGAACCCCCTCTCTATCCAGCTCGCCATGGATTTCAAGAGTTTGCAATCTTGCAGCAATCGGTTGCAGCAACAAGATGGAGGCCTGCACTCAACTTCGACAATTCTGGTGACAGCGATTGCAACGATTGCGGTGCTATATGTTGCGATGGTGTATCAGCGCCGAAAGAAGCTTCCTCCTGGTCCTTGGCCGTGGCCCATCGTTGGAAACTTGCCACTCTTGCTCGGGTCCCAGAAGCCCAAAATCTCTGCGGAAATTGGCCCTCAAGTATGGAGGTCTCATGTATCTTCAACTAGGTATGTCTGCGTTTGGTTCATATGGGCGAATTGGCTGACGCACTGGCTTGGAATTGCTTGCGTTTGTCATGTGCGATTGATTCATGGCGACTTCGAACAGCTGTAACACTAACGCTAATGTCGAGAGTGCAAGCAGGCCAAAAGCCATGTCTGGTAGTCTCGACAGCTGCGGCGGCCAAGGAGATTTTCCGCAAGCACGATGCCACTTTCGCATCGCGACCGCCGACGCTTGCCTTCAACATTCTTACAGCAGGTGCTTACAGAAACCTGGGCTACGCACCTTATGGACCTTTCTGGCGCCGTCTTAGACGAATTGCAAACACGCAGTTGTTCTCCCCAGCTGTGCATGCTTCACATGAGCCGATCAGAAGAAAGGAAATTCACTACATGTTGAAAGTTCTTGTGGAGGACTCCCACAAGGGCAAGCCCATTCATCTCAAGAGCTGGCTCACTTCAGTGACAGCCAATAATATGACCATGATGCTCTCTAACAAAAGGATCTTTGAAATGGGCGTTGACAATGACGAGAAGAAGCGAGATTTCGACGAAATGTTGCGGCGCACCTTTGTGGTAAACGGGGACTTCATGATCTGCGACTATGTTCCTTACTTGAGCTTCGTCACAAAGTTGCAAGGTTGGGTGTCAGAGATGCAGGGATTACGTGCGCTCGGCGCGTCGCTCGTTGGCAACATCTTTCAAGTAGACGAGCACAGGGAGCGAGCGCAAAAAATGTACCCCAGCGACACAGATTACGTGCCAGATTACATCGATGTGTTGCTGAAAACATCTCTCGATGATGGTGATCGGCTTCCTGACAGAGACATAGTATCCCTCGTTGTGGTGAGAACCTCTCTGTCCCACCTGATGTCAAAGATATCAATCGCGCCGCTTAAACACAAGCAAGAAGTTGGTGTGTAGGTTTTTATCAGTGGTAACAACAATGACCACTGGATATGCTTCAGGGCTTGCTGAATGCGGGAACAGATGCGAGCGCCAACACCGTAGAATGGGCGATGGCGGAGCTAATGGCGAATCCCGACATCAGGAAGAAAGCCCAAGCAGAGCTGGATGCGGTCGTGCAAGACCGCCTGGTCCAAGAATCGGACATCCCCAACCTTCCCTTTCTGCAAGCCATCGTGAAGGAGAATTACAGAATGCATCCGTCCGCGCCACTCTCTGTTCGCCATGAATCACACGAGTCGTGCGTGATCTCGGGGTGCGAGTTTCCGGCCCACACAGAACTGATCGTGAACATCTTCGCCATCCATCGCGACCCCAGCGTGTACGAGAATCCAGACAAGTTCGACCCCACCAGGTTTGTGAGGAGTCCAGAGGTGGATCCAGTGGCGGGGAACGACTTCTACCAACTGATGCCGTTCGGCGCAGGGCGACGAATGTGTCCGGAGCAACAACTGGGCAACACGATGGTGACGTCGATGCTGGCGAATCTGCTGCAATGCTTCGAGTGGGAGACGGCGACGAGTGAGAGAGAGAGCGGAGGCGGAGAAGGAGACGCGGTGGTGGTGGACATGGTGGACTATTACAGCTTCATGAGCTTCCGCCAGAAGCCCTTGTGCTTGCTCGCCAAGCCCCGACCCCTAGCGTCTCTGCTCCTCCAGGCATCGCCATAACTCGAGTGACTTGGAAATAGCATTGAAAAAACATGATGCGTATTAAAACAATTGAAACTTGCCTCATAACAATTGAACAAAACAATTAACCAAGTAAATAAGAAGATGACATGAACATGGTTGGTACATCATGAAAACAACATGATTCAATTGAATTTTTTTTAATTGTATCTTTATT